AATTTTAATAGCAATGCTTATTAACCCAAAAATAATAAACTATAGAATCATTCGAAATTATATATATAAATATCTATTTTTTGTCTAGAAAGCTACGATGGTGTTCTTAGAATACTGAAGGTCGAAGCCTACACTAAGTTAGAGGTGTCTAAGCCATACTCAACGACGCTGTTCCATTGTAGAAAACACAAACTCGTCTTATAGATAATTTGCAAACATGTTTTTACAACGCTTTTTCCATGTTACCACTTGCAGTTGCCTCATGAAGCATGCCATCCTGGCTGCGACGTGGGAGATGTTGTTTGGGCAGATCCGCGAGCGCGCGCTGGACAAAATCGTGCGCGACAAGACGCCCCTCGGCTGCCAGAGTGACGAACTCTATCCTACCTACGANCTCTTCAACGTCTCTTATATGGAGACTGGAGTATTTGGTAAGTATTAATGTGGGTAACCCTTGGTGGTTATTATTTTCGAAATATTGTTAGTAACACGTGATCATCAGAGTGATATTAGCACAATATGTGTGAAAGAAAGAGGGCGCTAATATTTCAAAACGGCGCTAGTGTGCCAATAAAAGCTTCACACACCTTACTGATTTACAAATGCAAAGTATCCATGTTTCTACGTCTTTTAAATTATGGTTTTCGTTTATCAGGAGTAATTGCAAAAAGTCATTCAACGAATGCCAATAAAGTGGCTATCACAGCAGCGCAACTGTTGGCCAACGTTGACAAAATTGATGTCGAACATATTAGCTACGGCAAGAAGCGACTTAGTAAGATTAAACACAATAAAAAATAAACACATAAAACTACTGCAATTTCACAAGAACACATATATTAGATAATGATACATACGCTCCATTTTCAGAATTAAATCTCGCTATAAATGAAGAAAACTGCGTTAATATATCTGAAAATCTTGGACTGCAAATGGCTAACAAAGTGCATATTGACGGACCGTTAAATGCTTACAAAGTCATAGACTCCATTCCTAATGAAGAGGTGCTGCAGCTGGCGAAAGATATTGTAAGCAGAAGTAAGTGTACTGGTTTTTAACCTAATATTATTAACATTTTGTGGAATAAAACCATACCTCGTCACATTTTTAATTGTAAGTTTTAGAGCCAACTTTTAGATCTAATAATATGTTTTAGATACTTGTTTAAGTTGTAGTATTAAGGTCGTTTCCTGTAGAAAAAGGTTGTGTTGTTTTTGGGTGTAATTCTGGGTATAATGTTTTTTTTTTCCAGAAAGTGACATGGCCTTTGCAGTTGTTGGCGATGTCGATGAAATTTCTCTAAACGATTTATATGCCTGTAGACGCTGAGTACTTATGAAAATAAATAATTTTTGTTATTGGAAAAAAATGTTTTTTCCTTACAGTATAAGACTTCAATTAATAAAATGGAAAGTACATGACATTTAAAAAAAAAGGTGTTTATGTGAACTATCGATTGTTTGTACATAAACCAAAGAGGATGTAAACTGGTTAAAAAGCCTAAAAGATTTTATTTTTATTATCTGTAAAAATTATATACTCTGAATTTCACACATGCAAGAAATTTGCAACACTGAAAAAATCACTGTCATATGTATGTCATTGTCAGTGAAGTTCGATATTTGATTTTGTTATTTTTAGTTATCGGTTGAACTTATAAACTGAATAAACTCGTTAACTTAATTTTTTTATAGAATGTAAGCCACAGTTGTTAAAAAGCAGAACAAAATGAATTCTCTACAGACCGCCATAAAATGTAAGCATAATCTTTAAGGTTATGTATTGCTAAGATTTTATGTAATAAAACTTTAATTATTACTTTATTTCAGATTTTAGACGCGTCAATATAGCCACCGCTTTAAACACATTAAAGGAATGTAAGACGATACCTAAATATGTATCAAAAGAAAGCACTATCATTAACTGCAAAAGCATTACATTTAGTCCACGAAGCATTGGATTTGAAATAAACGATAAGCCATTAAGTCGTGTAAAACAAGATCCATTATCTTACATCCCTATAATAAATCCTCGGTCCATCTTGCCTATTATTGACTCCAATTGGCGTAAAGATGAGATTGGATTGCCAGCTATCAGACAAGAGGAAAAGCATGCAGTTCGTCTTATCGTCATCAGACGCAAGAAGATGAAGAAGCACCAAAGGAACAAGCTATGGAAGAGAATGAGACACCGTTGGGCTCGGGTCAGTATCTAACATGATTTATGTATGTAACTTTCTTTATTTTTATGTAGGGGATTATAATCCATTCATTTTTAGTCCCCTTTCCCATTATTTTAAGAAATAAAGGAGACTAAAAAGAAATTCATACAAAGCCCCAAGCACAGGAAGGTGATTTGTTTCTTTCTGTACATCAAATGCCCCATTAATTCTTTTCTGCTTTTGAAGCAGTCTGCTATTCTGTTGAATTCAGCTGACTGCTACTTCATTCGCTACTTAATTATGTGATAAAAAGATATTGTATTAATAATATAATTGAAACTAAATCATTTATTACAGGTGAAGCAGCGTAGACGTCAAATCAAAGAGAAGATCTTCCAGAATGAGCTGCTAGCGATGGTGAAAGCAGCTAATGAGTTCTCAGCGGAGCAGTATGTGTCCAGCAAGATAGAGCAAGCCAATCATACCCCGCTACCAGCGCGCTGGAGACACAAGCGGCTGCCAGCATTCATCATACGCCAGCTGCTCGGAATTGATAAGAAAATCAACTACAAACACACTGATGTTTACAAGGCATAATACATCTTATGGTTAAATTTTAACACGAGATGTATATAAAATATTTTATTGTAAGTAGGGAAATATAGATTAAAACAATGAATTGTGTTTTTTTTCCTACTTTCTTCAATCTTACTGATATTATAAACAACCTTACGCCCACGACCTCGTAAAAAAAAAGTATCGTATGTGCTCTTCCCGACTATCTTCTGCTTTGCCAAATTTCATCGTGATCCGTTCAGCCGTTTAGACTACAAACTCTAAAATCCATCTATTTGAACTTTCGCATTTTTAAGTAAGATAAGAAAGTTTGGATAGAATTTTTTTACTATAAAGTATCTCCAAAACGACTCAAAGAATCTCTGTGATACTTGAAAAATAATATAAGTAGAACATAGTTTAGAGAAAAACATAGGCTACTTCTTAATTTATTAAATTTCACCTTGTTTCGAAGTTTTGTAAATAGCTCCATCTGTGAACATTACAAAGAAACTGCTTCAGTTCTTTACAAACTGAGCTTAGTATTAGCATAGGTTCGTAGAGATGGCGCTATATCAAAATCGCATTTTAATATGTTTTAATAGTTTTTTTCGTATTCGCAAAGGTACAAGTTCAAATACTTCGAGAAAATGTAATAATTATTGGTGATCGCAGTTAAAATAGCTCATGGACTATGTACATCGCACGAGTGTCCACGTAAATTGTTAAATGTAGCGTAGTGTTGCGGGGAGACATTGCGTGTACAACTCAAGGTCACCTCTAAATCATTTAAAGATTTATGCCTGGTTCACATTTTACCACTAAAGTAGAACAGTAGCGCAGGCCTAGCAATAACTATACGGGCTCACTGGCGCCAGTTACTGTTTTGGTTCTGCAAGTTGAAAGCCAGCGCTGATTTCAGACAGTATTATCGCCGCTGATTGTTCAATATCAGGATAATTAAATAAAATGACGTTGAACACTTGAACGCAAAATATTGTTAAGGTTATCAAAGACTTGGATATCATTTTTCGTATATCTATAAGGTAGATATTACTTATACAAATAATTGTATAATATATGCAATAAAAACATATACGCTTTAGTCCAAGGAAACTGCGATAAACAATTTTGTTACTCAATGAAGTTACTAGACCAGTGATTCTCAACCACTGTGCCGCGGCGCTTTTGTTTGCCGCCAAATTTTGAAGTATTAGCTTGTAATTAATCCCTTAATAAACGTTTAGTTATTATTGAAGTATATGTTTGTTTATTTCGTATGTTTAATTTTTTTTCATAAACTTTTCTGCAGTGTGTTATAGTAAGTAAATATTTTTTATCTTTTTAATTGTGTGCCGCCAAATTTTAGAAATCGTTGAATATGTGCCGCAAAAAAAAAGTTGAGAATCACTATACTAGACAAAATGTTATATTGTCTGGTTCGCTATTACCATTAAGTTTACCTACTCGTATCGTATATTATCCGTGTTTACACATTAAGGGTGTACTTATTAACCCATTGCCCATACGATCAAGGCTTCCTTCGTGATATAGAATTAAATACAAAGACAAAACCGCAACCGGAATTCTTTAAAATAGCGAAGAATCAAACGAAACGCGTAATTGTTTCCACTTGACGCGTGTATTTTGTGTGGTCGTGGTATTGTGAGGTGCTAGCTGGACCAATCAAATCAATCGACCTAATGGGAAAAAAAAATACACCCGAGTCCGCACATCGTGCGAAAATGTTAGAGAGTGTTGGAATGGCTCTAGAAGTTTTAATTTATGTTACATTTCAATTGTTAGACAAGATTTTTTTTATCTTAGTATTATATGTATTTGGTAATGTAAATGCATGAACTCTAGTAAATCTTAACTACTTGTTACTTCTAACTGATTAAAAAGTTTTCTCAATTTCGTTTATTTCGATTAGCTTTATACAATTACTTTCATTGAATTATATGAATCGATTATTTATCGATATTTATTGTTTATTTGATGTATTTAAATATTGAGATTTATAAAGTAATGGTAGAAATAAACGGACCTAACTTTTCAAACTTTTATCAGATCTAGTTGATTTTAGGCTTGGCGGAGAACGTTATGTTACAGTGACATACATTTTTAAAAGCATTAAAAGCGAATTAAAAACACATTTAAAGACAAACTTGTCTTGGAAGTTGTTGTGCAAACACATCGGGGTTAAGGTTAGATAATTATGTAATAAAAAAACGTAAATGTTATTATAATTACATATTTATTATTACATTTTGCCCGCGACTCCGTCCGTGTAGAATAAAAAGTCCTGATTAGAAGCTTATGAGTTAAGTTACGTTACGAAATTTCCTCAATGCAACATTTTCACCAAAGTTAGATTTTTGATAAAGAAGATATTTAATTAAATATTTTTTTAATATACAGCTAGAAATAACAGTTTACATAGTAAGTTATCAGGACTGCGATATTACTTATCTAAAGGTTATCATTAAAATATTTTATTGTCCAAAATTGTTCTTTCTTAAGTAATACATTGTTTTTTCTTTGTAAAAGTCCACATGTAAATAAAGCGAAGTGTTCATTTGTTTTCTATTTGTGTTTTAGATGTTGCTAACATTGTTGACTAGTGTTGCCGCCCTGGTGCTGCTCTGGCTGTTCAAGCAATGGCAGGACATGAGGCAATTCTGGGCCAAAAGGCACGTGCCTCACATGCCACCGCACCCGCTGCTTGGCAGCCTTACATTTATGATGAAGAAAAACCCGGTCAGTTAATTCTAATTAGCTACATTTTTGGTAGATTACAATAAAAATGTATCTTGCATTACCGAATTTGGTACTTATGTAATAATTAAAAAAAAAGAAGTTTCTAAATGCAAGCCATGTTTTATAACAAATTAAACATTGGTTACTTTTAATAAATGTGAATTGATTGAAGAAAAATTAAATCTGAAGCTGAAGTTATTCGCGTTCAGGTTTAATTTATTTATATTCCTTAGGGCGTATGGATGCGGGAGTTGTCGGAACGTTTCCGCACGCCGTACGTTGGTGTGTGGTGGTTCGGAGATAGCGCGTCGTATCCTCGTTAAAGACGCGCATATCTTTAGGGACAGATATCTCTCCGGCGGCAAGAGGGACCCTGTTGGCTCTATGAATCTTTTTACCATGAAGGTTTGTGATGTACTTAAGAATGTTTCTAAATAATTACGCGTACAGAAGAACATAAGTAAGTAAGTGTTCTTACAGACTATGTTCTACATCTGTGCCTTGCATCAAGATACATTAAGTCTTTTTGAAGACACGTATGAAACATCCTTCAAAACTTTTCTTGTTTATATGTCCTCGTGGAATAAAAAACAAACAAAAAGTGAGTAGCCTATGATATCTTTCAAACTATACTCATGCCAACTTTCATCGTGCTCCGTTCAGCCGTTTAGGCTACAAACTCTAACAAATATCTATCTATCCACCCAATCTAAACTTTTGCATTTTTAATATAAGTAAGATTAGTACGAAAAGAAAAAAGTTAAGTATTGTAAAGACCGTCAGATGTATAGAATTTAGACGTTCCCTTTTTATTTAACATTTACATTATCATTTTATTTTTCTTACACGATATTTCTTCGAACGTAACCATGGTCCATGCAGAGCCCGCTGTGGTCGACGGTGCGCCGGCGCCTGACGCCCGTGTTCACGTCCGCCAAGCTGCGCAGCCAACAGCGGCAATTCATTGACAAGACTCAACAACTCATACAAAGGATCAAAATGGACATGGACAGAGATAATAAAGTCAACTTAAGAGTAAGTATCTGATAGAAATAAAAAAGTTAAAGACACAGAACATGAGAGGAACAGAGGAAAGACACTGGGGTAACAAAATACGATCTCATAAGGTCATTAAAAGAGAAATACGGGAAGACTAAAAATAACATATATACAATAGATAAAGGAGATAGTTGGCGTGTCGTATTAGATGCAAGAGAGGAAGGACTAGAACAGCTCCATCGACAAGATCGGACTTCTTCAATAAGAGATAGATAATATTAGTATGATTAAGACGCGCAGACTTTTGATTAAACTATCGCACAACTGTTTAGTCTCGCTTTCCTATGAACTTATATGGAGGTTACACTACTCGATTAGTTGTGCCACTAAACAGTTGAATGGGCTGCGAAACAATCGACAATCGAACAAGAGTTGTGTGTTTAGTTAAATGCGGCGCTGTAATATAGTAATTTAGAAATATTTGTGAGTTAAAGTGAAGCCATTCCGTGTCCTATAAGATGGTGTATTCTGACTACACGACGGACGTGGTGGGTCAGACGTCGTTCGGTGTGGTGAGCGAGGCGACGCTGTCGGGGCGCGGCGCGCTGCGGGCGGTCACACTCGACTTCATGAAGTTCAGTTGGTGGCGCGGACTCTGCTGGGCTGGGATATTCTTCTATCCCGACTTTAATGACATTTTCGGGTAAAGGTTTAAACCCACTGTATTAGGGGGACTACGCCATAGACACGCTGCACTGCGCGTTGACTTCACACATATCTTTGAATTTCATCGCTGATATGTGCAGTTTGCATCACGATGTTTTTCTTCATCGTAAGAACGTCGGGTAAATTATGTACATAATTGAAAATCACATTGGTACGGAGGCTTTCAAACCCAAGACCTTTGTTAAATGCAGTCTTAAAATTGAATTAAGTTTATTTAGATCTTCGCAGTTGTCGAGCCGAAAACACTATTCAGCCATAATGACTTACGTTTCTATTAGTATTTATTAATCTTATGCTGTTTTGCACGAAAAAAAAAATTATGTAGTTATCATTTTGTCGAGAAAAAAAAATGTTTTGCGTTGGGATGTTTCTTATCGAACTGGTTGATTGATAAATTGACACTGTGTGTGTTTTATTATAAAGTATTTTTTATATTACTACTTTGGTGGTTTTCTATGTAATTAATTAACATTGATAAACAACTTGCGGGTTACCCTCCACATAGAAAGTTAGCCAATAATTTTAACTGTTGCCGATTATCTTCATTTCTACGATACCCTCGGTGGAGTAGTACGTAATAGTAGTTCGTTACGACTAAAGACATTGACAGAAGTGGAAGTGCAGCACTCGAAGTTGTAACATGTTCCAGGTTCACATTCTTCCCGAAGGCGACGACTGAGTACTTCATCAAGATGTACCGGCAGATCCTGGAGCAACGCGGGGGGTAC